AGGTACTTGTCGTGGTGCATGGATACTAACGAAGAAGAACGCGAAAAAGGAAAGACTGTTGAATGTGGGCGTGCTTATTTTGAAACTGAAAAGAAGCATTTTACAATTTTGGATGCACCCGGGCACAAGAGTTTTGTGCCAAACATGATCAGTGGAGCTACTCAAGCCGATTTGGCTGTGCTTGTCAGTTTTTGCGCCTTCCTTTTTACTCAGTAGTTGTACTGACGTTGGATATATAGGTCATCTCTGCGCGAAAGGGAGAATTTGAGACGGGATTTGATCGTGGTGGTCAAACGAGAGAACATGCTATGTTGGTGAAGACCGCTGGTGTTCGCCATCTTGTCATTCTTGTCAACAAAATGGATGATCCGACTGTCAAGTGGGACGAAGCTCGGTTAGTTAGTAATGTTGTAATGTAATCAGAATAATGCTTTTAATGAACGATTATTCAATGGTGTTGTTTCATTTCAGGTTTAACGAAATTCAAAGTAAGCTCACTCCATACCTTCGCAAATGTGGTTTCAATCCTAAAACTGATATGACATACATTCCCGTTTCTGGATTGACAGGAGCATTCATCAAGGATAGGCCATCGTGTGACCAAGGAGGATGGTATAGGTAGGCGTGGTTGTATTTATTGACCTCCATCCAACGTTTGCACTGAGACCAATGAGACCTTTTTATACAAAGCAGTATACTCTTTCAATCTTTTTACTGAGCATCATTTGAATTTCTATCATATTTCATTACAATTTATTTCGTACTTTCGAACTAGGTAACCTATGATTGCCAGACGATAGCTATATGCTGTATGGACACTGTTCAAATGAAGACTTATGTAAATTAGAATTTCTTCTGAAATGTTGAGGAACACCCGCCCAGCTAGTCATTTGTACTTGTAGAAAACCATTTACAGCGGTCCATGCTTTATCGACTATATTGATCATAATCTTGTTTCAATGGCTCGCGACTATAATGGCCCAGTTCGATGCATTGTGGTCGATAAATTCTCCGTGGGTTTACTTTTGTTTTTTCCTGTTTTTTAAGTTCATGTCTTTTTCTTTCTTTTCTATAAGAGTTCGAATTAATTTTTATGCAACTTCAGTCAATCATTATGTGTTGTCAGGATTCATCTAAGTTATGTTCAGGAGTTTTGAAAATGAGCGGACTATGCGTATTACCACAACTCACCTATCTTTAGATTGATTAATGGCTCCTGGAAGTTTTCCTTTACGTATATTGCATTATAGGACATGGGAACCCTAATCATTGGTAAAATGGAGTCAGGTGTGGTTATCAAAGGGCAGAATCTAGTATGTATGCCAAATAAGGTGTGTTTGATATCTTACTTACCCTTTATACTACTATACAACTACAAAAGTTATAGCAACCTGTTCAAGTAATCCAAATTTGGTCAGACGATGTTGAAATGGATCGAGTAGTGTCTGGAGATAACGTGAAGTTCAAATTGAAAGGTTTTCATAGTCTAAACATGTTTTGCATATATAGTATCTTTGCTTTGATTTTTGTATGCTCCAAAAGCGACATTTTTGAGGAATCGAAGAAAATGAGATTCAGTCTGGATTCATTATCTGTTCACCAGACGCCCTCTGCAAAGTTGGACGTGTGTTTGATGCAGAGGTAGTGTTTTCTCTTCTTCATCTTTACTGTTAGTGATCTCGATACTATTCCACATTACCAGGCTCAAGACTAAATTTTGGATCTAGCTGAAACTTTTTCTAGGAATGTAATATAAGGTTTTGATAATGAAAATCACATCCACTCCCACATGAGGGCTATCCTATAAGATTACGGTAGGCATGGCAGGCTCGGCACAAGCTCGCTGATTTTACTTTAAGAAGACGGATACCCTTATGAAAATCCAACAAATCACGAAGCCTCTATGTAACCTGTGGAAATTTGTGCGTGCAGGAAAAGTAGGGCAGCGATGTTTGCTTGGAGTGCGTTTCCCCCTAAAGTAAAACGTTTTAAGGTCATAGCAAAGAAGGGAGGAAATGCTCTCATCTGTCAGCTCTATAAGATGGGTCAAGGGGTCCATAAAAGTGTTTGATATAAGGAAAGCAAAATTATGAGAAACAAAAATAGTTTACTAATCGGAGATCTGAGGTCTCCCGTAGGTCAAAGGAACGGCGAATTTTTTTATTCTCATAGGTTGTCATAGATCTTATATAAAATTCTTAACTTCCTCTTACGTA